GTTTCCTTTTCTCCAGGTTTTCAGATGAGACGTTTATCAATCATGACATCATTTGTCGTAAGAATCACGGAAAAACCTTTTGAGTTATTCAGTTAGAAATAGTATAGCTTAAAATCGTTTCGTGTCAACCCTACTATGTCTTCCCAACTGAGTGATGGTGACAGGAAAACGATCATTCAGGCCTTCAGTAATGGTATCAACATTCATACACTGGCTTCCATCTTCCAATTCCATTCAAGAACTATTAGAGAACGGTGCATGTTTAAAAAAGAAGGAAGAGTAGGGAGAAAAACTGGATCAGGAGGTAACAACAGGAAGAGGGATCATCATATCAACTTAAATCTAAATACATTCTTATTGGTCAAAGTAAAGTTCAATAGCGTTATAAAAACCTCGGAGAATTCTAGTAAGACATCTTTAATAATTTCTAACATACAACGGTTCAAAGTTTAATCGAACAATTGGACAATTTTGCTGTTACACCCGATATACACACACACACACACACACACACACATATATATATATATATATATATATATATATATTTTGTATGGATATGAGTTTGTGACCCTGGGTTTCACACTTTTGGGATTATCATAAAAACTGGTTTATTTTTTAAAATTGAATCTATTTATGCTTGTTTGACTATGTTTGGTAGCGGGAGGGGGATCTATTTTTCTGTTTGTTTGGGATGGCACTATCATACGCGTAGATACATACACAGAGGTGTACGCATTTTAATTCACACCAACATATCCATATAAGCAATTCGAGGCTAGGCGCATATATATAAAAGACTCAAACATAAAGGTTCTTATTAGCTCTGAATCGGTTAATCATCTTACCTTGGTTATTGTCGAGGAAGTCTATCAAGCACCGCATAAGAATAGTAAACTCGGGCTGTTGATTTGAATATCTCAAAGGCATTTGACAGGGTTTGGTATAGTGGTCTTCTTCACAAGTTGAAATTTCTGGACGGATTTTTGAACTGATTCAGTCTTTCAAATTTCATACAAATCGCGATATAAAAGTTGTCTTAAATAGCCACTCTTCTAAATCTTTTTGCATTAATGCAGGTGTCCCCCAAGACTATATCCTTGAACCTATGTTGTTCGTAATTTTCATCAACGATCTTCCTGCTATCATCAGTTCTCAATTCAGTATCTATGCTGATGACAAAAGTATTTACTCTTGACTTAATAGTAAGTCTGATCAGTTCGATAATTGTCAAATGACCTACAGTCTGTTGTTAAATGGGGCAAGGAGTGGCTTGTTATTTTTAACGCCTCTAAAACGAAACTGTTCTCTTTCAATTCAATTCTTTTCAGCCCTTTTTGATCTCCATCAGCATGGCTGATACTAACCTCCAGGAGAGGGACTCATTGCACCTTTTCTAGCTAACGTCTTTCACTGATAAGAAATGGAAAGATTATATTGAATCCATTGCTAGATCTGCTGCGATGAAAGCTGGTTTATCGTGTCCTGCTAGACAATTTTTCTCCTCAGCATCTATCTTACACATTTACAAGTTTACCATTCGTCCAGGCTTTGAATATTGCTGCCACATTTGGTCCGGTGCTTTTGCTATTATCGAGAGATTCTTGATAAAATCCAAAGAAGAATCTACAATACTATTGATCCTGACCTGGCATCTCGGCTTCAGTCATTTTCCCACTGTCTTATCGTAGCTTCCCTGTGACTTTTCTATAAATATTTTCATGGTAATTGTTCTGATGAACTTTCCCTATATTACCTAGACTTTATACAGGACTAGAAAGTCTCATCATTTTACAGTTGAAATGGATTGATGTAACCGTAATGTTAACAGTTTCTTCTCTCGCACTTTTCACTTGTGGACCTCTCTCTTGCTTCCCAGTCAACTTCGATCTTTAAAAATTTAAATGCAATATCAATCGTTATTTTCTGTTTTCTTGAATCCAGTTCTTTTATCATTCTCTCTTATTAATAGTGTTTTTCTCCTATTCTCTTACACTCGCCAACCCCTTGCATCTCAAGGTCTTTATTGCTTTTCTTAGGGTGAAATGATTATAAAAAAATGTGACAATAATATAACAAAAATAAGCGATAGTCATATGCACAAATAAAACACCTTCGATTTCAGATTGGTTTGGTTTGATTTGCTTAGTTTTACGGCATATGAATCTCAATGCCGACAAAATTTTTCTTGCTGGTAATATTTTTTTTCAAAAAGTATTTCTGGTAATATTTTTTCAAAAATGTATTGCTGGTATTAAAACCTTTTTTTTCGCGTTTTGACCTCAGTTTGGGGAGTCAACTATTTGCCCATAGCTGGAACCCTAACAGGTACTACCACTCCGGGTCAGGGTTAAGAGATGGTTACATGCTCCTCAAAAGCCCCTGACCAGAGGCCTTGCTGCCGGATGTAGTTTATCGTCATACACAGGACGTTTACTTTCAGTCGTGGTATAGATATACTGGTCAATGATAATTATATGGATTAATCAATACAAAACACTGTTTTCATAGTTACCGAAAAATATGTTGTAAAAACAAAGGCAATTTGCAGACCAATGATAAAAATGCAACCAGATGTTGTTAGAAAAACAAAACAAAAAAGAACACATAAAGAAAGCAAAGTTTTAGTGAAATTCAAGTTCGATCACGCATACCATATCCGGGACTCGATCGGGGCCTCATAAAGAAAGTGAACATTTGGAAGAGGGACGTACTTCGACAAACAAGATGTATATATTCTGCGTTCCTACCAAGAAACCAAACGATTCATTCGAAAAACCCTGCTCTTTCTGACCAACTGAAGATAGTAATCGCCGGACGGTTTAAGAGAAAGATTACCGGGATAATCCCAGACAGAACGTTTCTTCGTGACTGGTCGAGAATTGTTGCGGCTTGAGTGGGAAATTTTGATTCATCCGACATATTTTTTTTAATCGGTTTCACCCCATGCAAGGCAGTAAAGCCACTAAAACACAAGGGGTTACAGCGTGTGGAAGAATTAGGTACAGAAACATTAATAATGAGCGGGAAGAGGAAAGAGTAATCAGGTGGACAGTAGATAGTGATTGACATTGCATTTAAATTTTACAGATTAAAGTTTGCTGGAAAGCATAGAGTCGGGAAGGAGTTCCACAAATGAGGAGTGCAAGAAAAGAAACTGTTAGCACAGAATTTATGGTTACATCTAGCCAACTCAACTGAAAATTGGTGAGATGTCGACGCTAGTCTAGTACTGTGCTTAAATTCAATAAATCTAGGTACCATAGCGATGAGATCATCCGAACACTTACTGTGAATATATTTATAGAAAAGACACAGAGAGACAACATTACAGAGGTGGGAACATGACTGAAGCCGAGACGCCAGATTAGAATTGATAATATTGCTAATTCTTCTTTGGATTTTATCAAGGAGTTCAAGGTAAATAGCAGTGGCATCGGACCATATGTGGCAGTAATATTTTAAGCATGGATGAATGATAGATTTAACGATTTAAAAGAAAGGTTATCGGGATAATAATGCTAAAAAGAACGTTATTTGGTGAATTGTTGCAGCTTACGTGCGAAATTTTCATTCATCCGCCATATTCATTCGAGATTTTAACGTTATTACTTATGTAGACTAGTCCACTGGTACAAAAAAATATTAGTGTCGAAAGAGAAAATGAAACAGTATTTTTGATTCATCCACAAAATTCATTGGAGTTTTCAATTTCCGATTATTATTTTCATTCATCCGCCATATTCATTCGAGATTTTAAAGTTGTTATTACTTATGTAGACTGGTCCACTGGTAAATATATATATATATATATATATATATATATATATATATATATATATATATATTAGTGTCGAAAGAGAAAATGAAACGGTGTTTTTTGATTCATCTGCAAAATTCATTGGACATTTCAACTTCCGATTATTATTTATATCGATCTCCACAGATTTTACTTCAGGGGAAAATGCAATTTCTTGGATGTTAGAACAATTCCTTGTTGCGAAAGATAAAATGTTCTGAAAGGATGGAAATTCGTAGTTTCCTGAAAAATTCTCAAAATGGAATCGTAGATATATTGGTCAGTAAAATTGATGTCGAAAAAATAATTATATTTGGGGGTGGTGTTGTACAATATGGATTACGACTAGAAATAATTCTCTCTGCAAATTTATTTTTTCCTATTATAGATTAAACACCCCAGATCACGAATATAAAAAATTAAATCTTATAAAAGTTAAGGTGGTGCAGTTTATCATGTAAATTCATTGATCTTCCTACGAAAGCCAAAAACAAATATGCTAATACGGCGTGATTGATAAAATTTTAAAATATGAAATTGTTTTAAAATTCGTAAGCTGGAGTCTTAGTATGGCACAAGGTCGTTTTAATGGGGGGATCGCCGGACATATACCTATGCATATGGGCCAAGGAAAAATATTTTGCCTAGTACCCGCTGTTATCGATATTATTGCAATGAGGGAGGTGCTGTCGCAGGGTTAGAATCACCGGAACTGAGCAAGTTCTCCTATCTAAAGTAAGGAGAAACGTTTACTCCACTTACTGCACAAAAGCTAACTCCTGTGCCAGGTCAGTATTAAAAGGAAAAATATAAGATCCATGTTCGGGTGAGGGCTTGGGGCCCTCACACACACTTACTCACACTGGCCAACAGTAAAAGTCCACAGTTGAATAAATCGTCATGTTACGTATGATAGATTTGGTTTCTATGTTAACTTTAGTCGGCACAAAAAAAGATGTCTTTCGTCTTTATTTAATAAACCGAATAAACTTTTTTGGTTAACCGATAAAATAAGCTAAACTCATTTATTGTGTTATTGTGTCATATCACGTCGTTGGGAAGAAAACTTAGCTATCAAATAACATTTGTATAGACGACGGCATCGTAAAATCTGCGAAACAAACAAAGAACAGGTGCCTCAGTTCTGATTGGTCAACAGCCACGTGCTTGCCACTTTCTGAATGGTCGACTCACTGGATGAATGAAATTATATTTAAATAGTTACTGGAAAGCGGACGTACGAATTGAATGGGTGACAGAAGACACGAAAGAAATAAAGTACGTTAAGCAGACGGACGGGCGGAGAGAAACGACACTGACAGTAAGCGCCGATTTAGGCACTAATAAAGTCAAACCAGTATGTTTTTGCTACTTTTAAATTTGACTATAGAATCAAATGATTTTCTCCTATTATTTGAACGTCTTGGGGTTTTGCCACCAACGTTAACACTGCAATGACGAAGCTACACTTAGATTTTCACAATAATAGGACAGCGTTTAAAAAGCTTAAACTCATTACACGAGCAAATGGTCTGCCAGATTAACGATCGCTTTTCGGGATGTACCCTAAACTTAATCCGGCGCAGTAATTGGACGATTAGGAAAGAAGGACTCATGGGAATAGCAAATGATTTGCCAGATTGCTTGTTAACCATTACTGTTTGAGAGGCGCTATAAACTTAATCTCCCAATAGCAGGAGCCATCTTGTGAACGGGACCTTAAAATATTGGTCCAGTTCAGTAGCTAAAACAGTAGATCAAGTTCCCGTACGGGTTTCAAACTTGATTTTCAAACTGTACTTGTCCTTTCATTCAGCTCAATTTTCCTAATCTCTTCTTTGAAATGAACACCTTTTATGTCGTCTGTGTTAGAGCAGGGGTCAGCAACTTTTTGCTATATACCGACTAAGAGTCTTAAAATCATGTAGTGTGCAAACAGCATACGTATTTTTATACAAGTCAAGGTCAATATACCTGTTTTACAATATATTTTATACAGTAATATATACAGAAATATGTTTCGGAAATGTTATTTTTATTTCAGAAAATAAACCTGCTGCAACAGTATTTTCACTATTGCCCGAATTAATAACGAAAAAGAAAGAAAGAAAATGCAAATCAGATTCAATTACAAAGAAAAAATATTTATTTACTACTAACCAGCTAAATAAAGGTTCTTGCAAAAATTCGTCTCTTTTTGCTGAGAATAAGATAACCTATTCTCTGAGTAACACAATGTAAAAAGACATAACAGAAAACAAACTTAAAAATTACAATGCACAAAAAAAAAAAAAAAAAAGAAAGGAATTACGCCCCCCCTGCTGTGTCAATGATAACAATAAAAGGGGGGGCATAGCTCTACAGTATACTTTCAGTCCTTTCAAGTTTCAAAAGTTTTTATCTTTTTTCTTTTCTTTCTTGTGTAGACAAGGTTCTCTTCTTGGTGACCAAACTCCCTTCTTTCTTTACTTATTTTCCTCCCGTCCGCCGGGAAATTACGCCTTTCTTTTACGGCCGCTAGAAGGGGAAAATTTACTTAAACACGCGGTAAAACGCTTTTTGAAAACGCACGTGTTTGCTCCTTCTTCTCAAACGGCTTTAGCTCCGAACTCCACTTATGAACTTCTTTTCAACTTTCTTTTCTGGGGCTTCTTCGAGAGGACTTCTCAAAACTTTCTCTGAAGGGGAAACTTGCCCTCAGCAACTTTCTTACTCATGCATCCTTCTCTTATGGGCAAACGCTGCCTGCCTTTTCAGCAGGGAGAGAAAATAAACCTTTTCTTTCTAAGCTGTCTCGTTTCCAAGTGCTGCTAAGATCCAGTTCCAGTTCTCCCTTCCCCTTCAAAAGGTGGGGGTCACCTTTTAACCGTCTAATCACAGTCCATTAAAAAAATAAATATCAGCAGGTTCTTAGGGACAGTAACACAGTGAGTCAGTCGTTCACTTTTGAACCGACTGCTCGGTTGAACTCTCTTCCTACGGACGGGAGGAACCCGAAGGAGGCTCCGCCGAAGGGCGGAGTCTCCTTCGGGGAGGTAAACCGGTCCTGAACCCGTTTATACGTGTTCAATGGGCATATTTTTGGCCGAGCCCACGGGCTCGGAATGCCCACGTTAAAAAGGCCTTGTGCCACATGACACCCTCGTGGGGGGTGACTCAATATCGTAACACCGTGAGTATCTTTTGTTCTCCCTTGACCTACAAATTTTCAAATATGTAAACCACATTAATAGAAATAAACTGTTTTTTTTTTGTTTTTTTTTTTAAAATGTTTTTATTATTAATGGGAGTTCGACGAGTGAGCAGTTTTGAAACAGCTAAATATCTTTGCGTTGTAGTAGTTATTGCTTCGGACTTCGTGATATCATTTGCGGCTGCGTGCCAATGAAAATTACTTGGCGTGCTACGTGTGCCGTAGGTTACCAACCCCTGTGTTAGAGTAATCTGTGTATACAGTTATCTCCCTTTTTAAGGAACTCTCTAAAAAAGGAATGATTTTATACTTCCTTTATTTTTTCTGTTGTATATTCAGTTCGGGAATAAACTTGTTTCATTGTAAATTTCTCGTTTGAGCCTTTGTCGTTATAATATGTCGTCTTACCACTGCAACCCAACAAGCTTTGGCCACAACTCAACAGTGAGTTAGATAAACATCTTCATGCATTATTGGCTGACATGTATACCATCTGTTCAGCAGGAAGAAAATACGCTTATAATAATTATTGTGGATTTCATATTGTGATCTTTTGTATTCAGAATGTTGGCTTACGGCCATATTACATTGAAGCACTGGTTTTCGTGCGATCGAAGTTAAGCAACCTTGAGCCTTTATCTAAATGGGTGACTGCTTAGTGATATAAACTTGGATGTGCGCGTGGTGTAATGGGCAACGGCTCGGAATTGGAAATTGGAGAGTAGAGTTCCAATTCCAGTTGCGTTCATTACATTCACACGTAAATACCCTTTTGAAAGTTATGAATCCATTTCTTCTTCACAGGATATGCGTTAATTAGGAGCATTTGTATGTGAAAATCATTATTATCTCTCAAAAACTGCAATATTCACTCGCAAGAAATAAGAATTAAAACTTTAAATAACGGAAAAAAGGTTGATAATCCGTAAAAGACAAATCAATCAATCAATCAATATTCATAATGTTACTTAACAAGCTAGATATAGACAGACTGGGACAGATAGGAACAGACTGAAACAGATATATAGAAAATGAAGAGGCAAGATAGATAGATAGATAGATAGATAGATAGATAAATTGAGAAGAGATTAGGCTAGATAGATAGATAGATAGATAGATAGATAGATAGATAGATAGATAGAGAAGAGATTAGGCTAGATAGATAGATAGAGAAGAGATTAGGATAGATAGATAGATAAATTGAGAAGAGATTAGGATAGATAGATAGATAGATAGATAGATAGAGAAGAGATTAGGATAGATAGATAGATAGATAGATAGATAGATAGATAGATAGATAGATAAACTGAGAAGTGATTAGGATAGATAGATAGATAGATAAATAGATAGATAAATTGAGAAGAGATTAGGATAGATAGATAGATAGATAGATAGATAGATAGATAGATAGATAGATTGATTAGAGAGATTAGGCTAGATAGATAGATAGATAGATAGATAGATAGATAGATAGATAGATAGATTGAGAAGAGATTAGGCTAGATAGATAGATAGATAGATAGATAGATAGATAGATAGATAGATAGAGAAGAGATTAGGATAGATAGATAGATAGATAGATAGATAGATAGATAAACTGAGAAGAGATTAGGATAGATAGATAGATAGATAGATAGATAGATAGATAGATTGAGAAGAGATTAGGCAGAGATAGATAGATAGATAGATAGATAGATAGATAGATAGATAGATAGATAGATAGATTGAGAAGAGATTAGGCTAGATAGATAGATAGATAGATAGATAGATAGATAGATAGATAGATAGATAGATAGATAGATAGATTGGGAAGAGATTAGGCTAATCCCTAGTTCCACCAGTTCAGAAATTTACAGCTATGTCCCACCTTGCCATGTACAGAGAGGCAAATTATATTAATTCCCTTCGTATTCCATTAGTAAGAAAAAAGTTCAATCGGATGCTGATGCTTTGTGGAACTCGAGAAGATTCTACAATCTTAACCTCTTCAAATCGACGGTCAATCGTTATCTATCCTACATATCCTCATAATCTACAAAATTTAAGTTCATAAAACAACCCCAATTCCGTAACCCTCTACCTTGGTTCTTAGGCTTTGTATTGGGCGAACAATAGCGGAAAAAGAGATAATTCAATAGATCCTCCACTCGGGGCACTCACACGTCACAAGCCCTCATACGTTGTGTGTTAAATGAATGTCTCCAAGCATTATTGGCTGACAGGTATATATTGTTTGGACAGAAGGTAATAAACCTTTGATAATTATTGTGAATTTCATATATTTTTAATTCATTGTCCTATTTCCCCTCAAAACAAGCAGATTTCCAATCAATGGATAATGAATAATTTCTTTTACATCCTTTTGGTAATTATAAGCCTGGCGTGAATATGTGCAGCAGAAAAGCAATGTCTAGATAGATAGATTGGGCTAGATAGATTGGGAAGAATTTTGAGATAGATAGATAGATAGATAGATCGATAGATAGATTGGGATGTCTAAGTAGATAGATTGTGAAGAGATTGGGCTAGATAGATAGATAGATAGATAGATAGATAGATCTCTCCCCTCTCTCTCTCTCTCTCTCTCTCTATATATATATATATATATATATATATATATAGATAGATAGATAGATAGATAGATAGATAAATAAATGATTGGGATGTCTAGGTAGGTTGGAAAGAGATTGGGATAGATAGATAGATAGATAGATAGATAGATAGATAGATAGATAGATAGATAGATACTTTATTCGGTGTACTTACACGGCGCAATTTCCTTCTTTGGCGTCAATATATTTTGTTCGAAAGGAAAGAAATAAACTTTTAAGACGAAGGTAAGTCAATAAGTAATTTTTTTTTTTTTTTTTTTTTAGCGAAGGAGAGCGAGAAGAAATGCCTAAGCATAATCTAGAAGAAGACAGAATGCATATACATCAGCAAAATGATGAACCCAAAATGCAATTTACAGCTCCGGGACACTAAAATCAAGCAGGTACAGATATTTAAATATATGGGAAGTGTTCTGACAGAGGACGGAAAGTGCGACATTGAGACCCGAAGATGGATTGGAATGGCCAAAGATGCATTCCAAAAGCTAGGCAAAGTATTACGAGACAGGAATTTGTTTTCGTTGGAAACAAAGAAAAGAGTACTGAACTGCTACGTGATATCTGTTTTCTTAGATGGCAGCGGACGTTGGACCATCTCCTCAAAGATGAAGAAGAGACTTGAAGCAACAGAAGTGTAGTTTTTCAGAAGGATGCTAAGGGCGCCATGTACTGAACATATGAGCAACGACGAGGTTTTGGAGAGAATGGAAACAAAGGGGAAACTTATACTTAACATCAGGAAGAGGCAGCTGAAAATTCTGGGACACGTAATGAGAAAGGAGGGTTTGGAAAGTCTGATACTCATGGGACGAGTAGAGGGAAAGAGGGACAAAGGAAAGCAATGCGTGACATACTTAATGGTTTTGAGCAATTGGTGGCGGAACAAGGTCAGGGAGAAATAACAAAAGGAAAAACTTATTAAGAGCTATAAGTGACAGGAGGAAGTAAAAGTCCATGATCACCTACGTCCTGAAGACTATAAGAAATAAGAAACACAATCAGACATATTGCTATAGATATAGCTATACATCACAGGTCCACATCCTTACTTCTCAACACTGTCACCACCTCTTTGAATGGCAGTGTTCCTCCTACGAATGAGGTCTTGTATCCCAGCTCTTTAAAACTCATCTTGCTGTTGATGTAGCCAATTCCTAACATCAGTTTCACTTTTTCCACGCCACCTGACTTAGCACCTTCAAACGTTCATCACTTTGGTCCAATGAACAGAGGTATTGACAGGTAAACGTTATGGCGGTGATGAAGAAATGAAAACTGCTGTAAGAAATTAATTACAACAGCAGTCAGGTAGATTTTATGAAGCTGGGATGCATGCTCTCATTTAAAAAAAAAATTGCTACTTTAAAAATGTTAGTCTTGAATAAATGTTTAATCGTCTAGGTTGTTATTTTAGTACACTTTCTTTTGAGAGAAGTGTATTTTTATGAAGGCCACGCGCTTTGTGGAAGAATTGTTACACTTATATCTTTTTCCGCTCAGCGGTTAAAACCTGCCAAATTTGTGAATAATCCTTTTCTAGTTTATGGAATATTATTTTTTCGTATATACTGACCAATTAGAGACATGGTAAGAATCTAAATGAGGGCCTTGTGTGAGTCTATTTTTCTGAATAAATAGCACTCAGGTCAGGAATTGAAGAATTTTTGAAAGCAAGAGAACAAGGCAAATTGACATCAAGGAAGGGACAGTCTAGAAGGCATCAGTTATTACCCAAAAGGAGAGAGCCTTGAACTTCATATGTGAAAATTCTCCTTCGGTTGGACAACAAAGAACGAAAAGAATTCTAAGACATTTCCCCAAGCACGAACAGTGTGCATTTAAAAGGGACTTTTCTAAAATTACTATATGTCTCAGAGACGCACGTGGGGTAAGAAAAAGTAGGTGTTTTCGTTTTTTCTGAAAGTTAGTTGAACCTTTGTTTTTCTGCCTTCTTGAATTGTTTTGTTG